CATATGTATATATTTTCATATGCATATATTTTTATTTATGTCTTTTATTTACTTATATTTGTATTTTTTTATAGCTATTAAAAACGTCAGCTGGCTATATATCTGTTTTACTTACAACAAGGAGTCAATGAATGTTTTAAAGTATATAAGTAAATAATGCCCAAATTAATATTAAAAATACAAATTCAATAATAATTTAACTGGAAAATATTAACTAATTTAAAACGCGTCATGTAAGATTACTCGAATAGTTTACGTAGAATGATTATATGCATTGTGTAATGATTATATGAATAAATTTATTTACATTTTCTGCTGCTAATGTAATATAGTGATTGTTCTGCTTATTGATAAAAACTATCAAATAATACAAAAAAGACAAAAAATGGTCTAAAATAGTTTAAATATTGATGAGAGAAGAAAGGAAAATAAGTATAAGATATCTCGAGAAAACTGTCGCAATATTAGATTGAAGATAATAAGTAATGTGTTAGATAAATTAAAAAATATAAAATCCAATGTTATTAATGATTATATATTTTTAATTTATATACAGTTCTCTAACATATCTTATATTTAATTTAATATTAAAATAGAAATTGTGAGCACAAGTGTAGTATGGTGGACAACGCGCGAGTTTATGCTGGGGAAACTCGGGTTCAATCCGCGGCAGATCCAAGAAATTTTCACGCGTTAGTAGCTCTTCTTCGCCGCGATGCGCGGCAGTCTGACAAGCCACCATTGTAAGGTTGCATTTGAAAATATTACCCGAATGTCTACGAGTATCGTATTTTGTCTTTGTTGTTCACCGAATATTAAACAAAGACAAAATGATACTTGAAGATACTCGGATAGTGTTTCCGAATATATCAATTGCCAAGAAAACCTCTCAAACTACCGTCTGGTCCGGAATCATTAAATTGTAGGTCGCGCATGACTGTGTAGAACCGGTGCGCACGGTGAGCATACGATCGATAGGCCCTGTCCCGGCTTTGAAATATCGCGCCAACGAATAAATAATAAAAATAGAAATTGAATTGATTCCATGTTTGAAATTATTACGAATATTCCATTATATGTATAGATATAAAAATAGATGACTTATAATATTTACATAATGCAATAAAAGTTAATTGTTTTAATGCTTCTTTTATTTTTGAAAACATCTCCTATAATATACATATGTGTATATGTAGTGTTACTAATTAGGTTACATTTTATAGCTACTAGAAACATCAGATAATTACATGTTCATGTAACTTGTATATTTACAACAAAAAGCCATTTAAAAAGTTACATTAAATGTTTATTCTACTTATTAGTGATACAAGATATAAAAAAATAAAAAAAAGATTAATATAAATGATAAAAGTAATTAACAATAAAAGAAAAAGTCAACTAGAGAAAAGTATAACATGCAACATGAAATTTAAAAAAATAAACAATATATACGTATAAAAGATAAAAATAACAAATAATTTAAAATTATTAAAGATAATATACATATATGCACACAAGATAATAGTTAACAAAAACTTTCTATTAATTCGTTTTACATATATAATCAACAATATATACAAAATATGTCATAAAACAAGATTTTATTTTTAATTTTAAATATTAACGTGAATTATTAAGTCTACATAATTTAAAGATCTTTTAATTTTACAATAATGTTTACTTAATTTTTTTCAATTACGTTCATTTTTTAAAAATTTTAATTTTGTACAAAAAAAAGCCAGTATTTCTCTCGAAAAATTTATTGAATAATCTTAAAATAACCATAAAAAACCACATTAAACAAAAAAGGTCTACAAAACAGTCGAAAAAAATTATTTATATTAAACACTAAATTAAAAATCATTAATCCTATTTATTAAATTCCACTAAATAATTAAAATTCCACTAAAACATTAAAATTTTAATATCTCGTTTTTTGTTTAATAAATCGTATAATAGTATCATCACAAAGTAAAAGATATTCTAGTAACCAAATATCATATATACTTTTTTACTTATTTGACAAATATTTAGAATAATAATAGATATCATTAAAATATATTATCTCTAGACGTATACTTAAACAATGTAAGTCATTTCTTTAATGATGGATATACTAAGAGATACTTGTTACGTGCACATATCTGCTACTTTGTATTTTAGTTCTCAAGTGTAAAACTTTGCCAGACCATTAAAAAAAACCGATATTCAAACTTTAACAGAAAGACTTTTACATATCGTGCACATTCAGCTAAACATTAATCTATACTACAGGGTCGGTTTAGAAATGATTAAACTTATCGTCAATATATAAAAAATGTGAATCGTATATTTATTAAAAAAGATTTTCTATATACAAGGAATAAATAAATTTAAAAGAAGCTAAAATATTTATCAATTTTGTCATTAAATTAATATTTAAATCTATAATATTGTAACTTTTTGTTTAAATATATATATTCCGTTTTTATAAAAATAATAATAAGAATATATTTTGATATCTTAACATGACATAAATATATGCAACATTGTATAATATTTTAATCAAATTCTCTATATAAATAACAAAAGTTCTGCAGTTTACGAAATATGTTCAATAACAATAAGTTTATTATTGGATGCGGCCCTCGATGTTGACGACAGATCGCAGTTGTTTAGTTCACAGAGGGGAAATAACTACCCTATAATTCAATTTCCTCGCAGGAAAACAATCTAGCTATAAGCGTCACGCGCATTCTTGTTACAGACACGTACATTATTATTAACGACTGCAATATTCACTCATGAAGAGAAGTAAGTTTATACAGTTTTTGCGCATATTGTAGTTCACATTGTACGTGCTAAAGAGATGGTCATATTATAGATATGGCAAAAGAAAAAGTTAATTCCCACGTAACTGACAATATGGTTATCTCGATGCATTCAGGACATGAAGGTACTTTTTTTTCAATAATTTTAATATATCAATATAAACAATTTTTTAATAAAATAATTTTTATTAAATAAATTTTTAATAAAATTTTTATTAAATAATTTTTAATAAACATAAATTTAATATGGCAAAGTTTTTTACTAACTACGTATAGAAGAAAATTATAATATAAAAAATAAAAAATATAATTATCATATGAAAATATTTTTAAGTAGATAAATTACAAATATTGTAGATAAAGATAAAAAAACAAACACGCAATATACTGTCAATAGAAAATCAAGTCATTTCAATTTTAGCAAAATATTAATTGATGCATTTTATTTAAGAAGAAGCTTTATATTAATTTTGCCTATAATATTTTTTTAAAAATAGATTACAATTGGGTTATTACATTAAATCGATCTTGCTTGAGCTTATTTGGAGTTTGGCCAGAATTCAATGAAACTCCACGAAGGAAATTGATGATAAATGTACGAGTGATTATTATATTAAATATAATTATTTGGAGTTGCGTTTTTCCATCTTTTCATTCTCTCATCCGAATATGGGGCAATATTACGTCTATGATCGATAACCTACAATACACTTTACCGCTTTTAAGCTCAATAATAAAACTCATTCTGTTGTGGCAGAAGAAAAAAGGTACTCTTAAACTTGAGAAAAAATATGTATGCAACATATTTTTACTTATAAAAAAAAACCAAAATTTATTCAAAATTTTATTTTCTCGATTTTATCGTAAGAAATCTTAAAAAGAGAAATTTAGTTATTTTCAATTCTCACAACTACATTAAATATAAAAAAAGTTATCATACTTTACTATTTTAAAATTACTATTAATTTAAAATTTAATTAATATAGAAAGATAAGACGTTTCTAAATTAAAAATGTTTAATACACATAATGATCAATATTAACTTTTAGTTTTTAAATATTATATTAAATATTTTGTACTGTTTTCATTTATATATTTATCTCAAATATAATTCTCTTCCACTACGTTTTCTAACGGAAATTTTTTATTTTTATTACTTTATTTTAACAAGAAAATAACAACAATAATTTTAACACGCATAATTTATTTTTAATAGTTCTTGTATCAATTTTAAAAATGGTTAAAGAGGACTGGACAAAATTAAAGACAGAAGAAGAAAGAACTGTCATGATAAGACAAACGCGAATTGCACGTCTAATCATGATTTGGGGATACCTTGTTATGGTTTTCTCGTTCATTTTGGTTGTAATTTTGCCTTCTTTTAATATATATATGAGATATATCACAAATATTACCGATCCGGGCAAAGTGCTACCACTGCAAACATATTACATATATAATGTAAGCAAGAGTCCATTTTATGAGGTAACTTTCATTCTACAAGGCTTTAGTTTGATGACAGCCGCTATTACGTACACTGGCACGGACTCTTTCATGGGTTATCTAGTCTTCCATGTATGTGGTCAACTTGAAAATTTCAGGATGCGTATTCTTAATCTGGATAAATTCAATCACTATGAGAAAGCACTATCATCTAGTGTGCAGGATCATATACGTCTTCTCAGGTTTCGTACTGGTGAAACAAATAAAGAAGTAAATTCACAATTAAATTTAATAAATTTTGCAGTTATTTCAAATATTTTCTTCCCTTTTTCATAAATCATCAAATTTTGTCAAAACAAAATAAAAAT